GGATTGCGAGCATAATTCGTTCCGGAAACGTGTTTGTAACCCAAAGCACTCGTATATCAGTTGTGATTACGTGACGCTCGGCAGTACAAAGCGTATACGTACTACTACTCGTATTGCAAGACATCGCTCGTTTATCAAATTAATATTTATTTCAAAATTTTGCTCGTCTTGCAAAACACTCGCAGACCAAGTTACTCACAATCCAAGGTTTTACTGTGTTACCATTATGAACCTGGTGACCCGTGTTTGAGTCCCGATCGCACAGTGGACTCTTATGCCTCGATTTAAAATATCTTCAGTTTATATAAAAAAAAAAACTGTATCCAGTATAAACCCGACTGTGTTCATTAAGTACGCGCCGCATTCTCCCTTGGTTGCTCATTGATTCCCGTGTAAAGGCCACGTGAGTTAATTAAGTGCCGAGTGGCTGGAGACATTTGAGAGAGAGAGAGAACAAAAATACGCGATTACAGCCCGACGTTTTTGTTTGTGTGTTTGTGTGAAGTGGAGAAGGAAGCGCCGATTGGAAATCACCACGCAAGACACGGGGCGGGGGGGGGGGTCACAGCGGAATGCGTCCGAATAGTAGCGGGGTGATTAGTGTTGGGCAAGTCCAACCTTTACAAAGAAGAAGGGCCATTTTTGGTTGTTTTTTTGTCCTTGACTGTAATAGTTCGAGAGCGACACCGCACGCAGAGCTCCTTGTACACAAACACAGCAGCAGCAGATATGCGGCAGATGACGCCACACATTCAGACTGAAATAAAATAGGTGATGGATTATTAAACTGCGTCTCTTTAGTTGATCCCCCCCACCCCCTTTGTTATTATTCAACAATACGTTTTTTTACAATTTATTATTAATCAATTTATTATTTTATTCTCATTCTACGTGACTTTAGCGAAAGAACCAAAGGTAAATAAAAAGTGTCCAACTTGGTAGGGGCGTTGCCCCCCCGGCAAACTCCGCCTATGATTTTTTGTTGTCAAGAGTACATTCCATAGTGACCCATTCCCTACCATAATTAATCAATTATTTCTTTAATTACGTTCAAGATTTGTTTTTAAACTGCTGCCCGCAATGGAAGGATGGGGGGGGCAACCAAAGAGCCGCGGGTTGCTGACCACTTCTTGTGCAAGTGGTAAGAGTGGTGGCGCAGTGGTTGGCTCACCGCACTGCAAACCCTGGGCGGGCCCGAGTGTTTATTCTCGGCCACGGCGAACATCAGTGGCGAGTGACATCTCAAGAGTTCCTAACCCCTACAACTTCAGTGCGTACAAATAAACCGACCTTGCACGACACGGTATGGGGAGGCCATCATCCAGCAGTGGATCAAGTAAAGTGTCGTAAGTACCAAACTGTCCAATGCATTACAACTTTGAGAATTCTCACCCCCCCCCCCTCCCCCAACAATCTATTAAGCGGCTCTAAACATTCTAGCCCATCTATCCGTGGCGGAGAAATACACACGTACTGTACCACGTGCAGACTATACAGTCTCAATCATCACGGCCCTGGGCCTCTCCTACATTGACTCGGCCTGAAGTACTGGGCCTGGTCCGGGGTGCACACACTAAGCACTGGGGAGACAAAGACGGCCAGGCATGGCGTTGGCCCACATCAACTCCTCGTGCGTAGTGCCGGCTGCACGGGGGATCCTTACCTTTGTCTTCGAAGGCCGAACCACGTGCTTCACACGTTCAGAGCCGCCATCTTTCTATTTTGGAGCCACTGCGATCTGATTGGCTGTGGCGGGCCAATTGCTTAGCCAATGGCAGTGCTTGCTCAAACATTCAGACGTTGGATTGTGTGCAAACTGTATGTAGTTCGTGGATTACATGTAACTTAAATTCCCTGCGTCAAACACTTATTATTATGTCTATGCATAGAGCCAGGGGCTTAATGTTTAACAAGTTTACGGGTCGGCGACCCGGAAAAAATTCGTACCCGGTACACCACATTCAGTATGAATCTACAAGTCCGACTCCAGTTCCCAGCGATATGGAAAATATTAAATGTAACTCTGCATATGTCAATTTTACTTAATCATGGGCCAGTAGTGATTTGCATGTACATGTATGTACTATATGTATGTTGAACTTCTTTCGCACCCTACGTAGCCAACCGTGCTTATTGGAAGTGCGGGAGAAGGACCACAAAATAAACACAAGAAACAGTTCTAAAGAAACTAGTTTCCAATCTAGATTGAGCTCCAGTGGCTTCCTAAAATCGGAAATGCGTCTGAAAGCGCGCGATTCGGTGACGGCTTTTTTTCGATGGCCAGCAAACAGCCGTTGCTGCGAGGATGACCGGAGTTCGCATAATGGTTTGTGCTCCTTGACAATATCAGCAAGTTCCATGGATTAGGAGGCATGCACGTGTAACGAACAGTACGTGGCGGGGGGGGGGGGCTTGGATGGGACGGTGATCGATGGTCGAGACGAGCAACGGAGTATCAGAGAAAGTAGGAGAGGGAGCGATGAAAATTAGCTCATGTGCAGCTACACGATGAATTGAGAGAGGCCTTTATCCAGATTTCACGAGTGATGGCTAACTCATGATGATGATGATGACAACATGATTTAAGGGTCTCCAATTTATCAGTGTAACCCAAATGCTTCCATCTCCCTTTGTGTGGCAACATCTTCGCTCCTCGATTGACTTCCCCACTCAAGGGGTCACTGGCGCCGGGAGAGGATCAAGTCAACCCAACGTCGATGCCTCGCGCTCAAAGCGCGGGGAACCTGGGCTGCGATCACATCCCTAAGTGTGTTGCTGCGCTCCGTTACCATACTCGGCGGCATCCATCCAGGCAAAGGAGTTGGATCTTGACCGTCGACATCATGGCACCACTCGTGTTGATGCAACGTGCACCTTCGTGATCTACTCGCTTCTGATGATTATGACGATAATGATGGTGACGTGTTAGCCCCACGCCGCTGCAAGATGTCAAACTCGACATACCACCACCGCCAACAAGAATAATTATAATTTCTGACGCATCTCAATGAAATCCAATGTGATCTCCAGATGCTTTAAACAAAAAAACACCCAAATTAGGGTACAAAGGGACATGGAGGGGGAGGGAGGTGAGCCATGGCAGGGAAACACTGGAGAGAGAGGGGGGAGAGAGAGAGAGAGAGGAGAGAGAGGAGAGAGGGGGGAGAGAGAGAGGGGAGAGCAGCGCTCCTGTGCCACAGCCCGGGGACGAAGCAACCACGGAACAGCAGCAGCAACAGCAGAGGGCAGCTGAGCAGAAATCCATTGTTGTACTCCACTCTGCTCCCCCTTCTATGCTCCCCGTGGTGCACGGAACGTCCCCCGTGGAGCGGACACATTGCTCGCGACACTGCAATGGGAGCAAGAGCAGTTCGTGTCAATGCTGTCGCAAGAGGTCACACGGGTAGCAACGGTGTTCTGTTAGCCATGCGTGATCATAATGATGCGCATGTATCTGTTTAGTAAATTATAGTTATGATTGTTGTTACTTTTTCCGCTAATAAACACATGGCATTTTCAGTCTTAATGAAAGATCGGTAAATGATGAAGACAAGATGACAGAGTAAAAGGCCATTATTTAATAAAATTTGACTCAACAAAAAATACAATGTCTTGTGAACGGAATGTCCAGCATCTGTTCTTGTGACCCAGAGCAGCCACACGTAATCTGTTTGTCAATGCGGCCAATGGTTTAGGAGGATAAAAAAAAACCCAGTACAAACATCCAAGGATGCGAAATGGGATTCTGATGCAAATTAAGCATCTGTTGACAAAGAGACGGAAGGGCACGGTGGGGTGAGTGGCCCTATGGAGTGGGGGAGTGGTTTTGGCGAGTGCGGTGGTGGCGATGGTGATGTGTGCGTGTGTGGGTGGATTTGGCGAGTGTATGGATGATGATGGTGATGATGATTCTGACGAGTGGCGGGCTGGGAGGGTGTGGTGGTTACGGTGGTAAAAGTGGTGTCTTCGTGAAGGTTTTGGTGATTGTGGTGGCGGCGGGGGGGTATGGTCGTGGAAGGGTTTGAATGCCAGTGAGGGTCTCCTGTGGAAAGAGAAGGAAGAGGAGGGCGATGTAAATGCGATGGGTGTTGTGCGGTTTCACTTCGGGTCGCGAACTCACCGAGGTCTCCCCCACGCCAAACGGTTCAAAATTCCACGTGCGGACGCGTGGACGAATGCGGTGAGACGGCAGCATGGCTGCGTTTGGGGACATTTGTAATTAAGCGGCGTGTTTCGCGCCCTTGTCTCATGGGGTTGGTGGATCACGCAGAGATCACAATATATCGTGAGGTTCAAGCGATACAGTACCATAATATGTATGCGCTCTGCAAGTGCCCACGTTTTGTTAGAATCCCGAAGCGCCAAGTACTGATTTGAGGCTGAGTCAAACTAGGGGCGGCTCAGGACTGGTTCATATAATCGTCAGTGGTGTTGGCCATAAGCGGAAATTGAACTCGGCTCGCTGGGTGCACACGCACACACAAACCAAACACGTAAGGGCACATGCACAATCATTTTAAATCTATAGCTTATACAGTATACACCGAACATCACACCCATACAAACGTATACATGGACACCTAACTAATGAATTAAGAGATATTTGACAAATGTTGATGGAGTACTAATACTGCAGTAGTAATTAGACAGATCATAATAATTAAAATAGTAATTCATTATCATTTAGTGATATTTAAGCGTGACATGCTATTCAAAAAAATAATTATAAGAAGGAAATATATAAGTTGACAATGTGTCACCTTTACACATCTTTTATCTTCTTCTTTGGTTCTACCAGACAGTCTCGCCCCCTTCACCTGATGAAGGCCGCTTGTGTTGTGGCCGAAACGTCGTGAGAATATTATTGTGTTATTTTATTTTATCAATTTATTATTTTATTCTCATTCTACGTGACTTTACCGAAAGAACCAAAGAAGATGAATCATTGCAGTCACGAAAGCTTTAAATCGAAATCTTTTATCTTCTCAACATACAACAAAAAAACATTCTGGACACAACCTATCCGCCCCACGGCTTTTTTGGTCGTGCATAATCTCAGCAGCTTTGATGCAAGACAAGCAACACTCTGGACCAGTTTCCGCACACGAGTGTCTCGTCAGCAGAGACCTCCGATTAGCACGCTTGGCTATGAAAGAAGTGAAACATACAATCACACAGCAGATTTTTTTTTCAGGCTGGGCCGGTCTCCACATACAGCGTCTCATCAGCAGCACTCAGGATCGCGTTTAAATCAATGCTGGTGAACTGCCAGACGTTATCGGCAAGGGCTCTCTCTTTAAGATATCGATCCCTGTATGAACGCTAAACTCTCTGGGAACATAACGGAGAATGTTTCAGGCGGGGCAGTGCTCGGCACGAGCGAGAGGGCGAGTGCGTGACGTCACGCCAGCACCACGGACAGCGACCGCCGCCGCGGCTCGCACAGAGCGAGACGCGGCGAACCGAGGACACGCTTGCTGGCTACCTTCACAGCATCATCATCAACAGCATCATCGTCAACATCATCATCAGTAGCAACATCAGCATCATCGGCATGACCAGTGGGAGATCGCTAGCTCATATGATGAGTGAGTGAAGATGTAATTAACCCTTCGACTCCACTCCGCTGTAGGGGTTATTTTATTAGTTAAGTTTAAAAAAGGATTCCCTTATACTGGCTTGAATTTAAATATCGAGGAAGAACAAATCCTACTAATAATGAACAATATAAACTAGTGGACCCTGTGTTCTTGTCACAGCTCTGGGCCCACGATGCCACAATAGTCATCGCGTGCATGGCGGTTACCTACCGAGTTTTCCTGCAGGGCAGGAGGGGCAATGCATTTGCAAATTAAACCCCACCTTGTAGTTACGTTCACCTCTGTCTTGTGATATCTACTGCACGGCAGCGCGAGTGAGTGTGTGTAGCCAGCGGAGTTCTCGGCTGGGCTAGGGCACAACGGCGGACGAGGAGCAGCTAATCCAAATCGCTTATCTCCTGCGAGCTCGACGCTAGAGTTAAATTTGTCCCTGTGATTTGTTTTTCTTACAACCCTATATATATCATCTGTCTTGGCTACGTACAATTTGCACAAATGCAATCAATGTTACGTAACACAACGGTATTAGTTGAACAATAATACGCAATAACAATTACATTATTAGAATTATTATTACTTGGCGCTCCAATCATGTACATATATTCACAGCCATACGTATATAAATGTAATCGGCCGCTTAGAGCAGGGGACATTAATTTAGCAACCTCTATCGCACGCTCCGTCGCACTGAGCAGCCGCCGTGCTGGACATCTGTGAAAAAGAGCTTCACAGCTCATCGGATTTCTCCTCCAGTCTAAATCAATATTTTGATTCTGGGTCTAGGGGTCAATTCAGCCTCGAGTCATCATAGTATCCACCACAGATTCATCTCCTAGTTCGTCCCCTACCCACTCCTCTCTCTCCCTCTTAAAGTCGCAGGCTCTCGCCCAGCTTTAGCCCACCCTGAGTCAGGGCTCTTCTCCCCGTCTGTCCATCGGCCGAGTCACGGGAAGGCTTGGCAATGCTGGAGTCGCGCACCCGGCGGGGTGTCCGTGCGTTGTGGCTCGTGGCGATTTGCGTGAGCGTGGGGCTCACAACAACAACATCAACATCATCAGGTACCCGCCGGCTCTGCTTCGTCCGTCGTTGCGTTCACCTAGCTAGGAGTTCGAGCGTGCATTGTTTCGCTGCATTGTACTGCATTGCTCGGGATGAATGTGTATTATTGGCGGTGTGACACATTGCGTGGACATGGTTGTACGCAAAGCAAAGAGAGAGAGAGCAGGCGCTGTGGTATGTTCTGTCGTCGAGGTTCTTCCGCTTGTGCTGTGCTCATATGGAAGGGTGCGTTAAGTTAATGCGGTCGCTTCACCACGATGCGATGCATTGTGGATGCACGCTTCACCCCCACACCTCCGATTAGCACGGTTGGCTACGTACGGCGCGAACTAAGTTCAACACACACACATTTATATATATATACACATAGATTACGGGCGCGGCGGACTCGTAACGATTGTTCGAAGCCGTGAAAAGAAAAGTAAATTGGGGAATGTTTTAGCAGGGCACGTTACGTCTAGAAGGGATGATAACGGCAACGATAATGAGGATGATGATTATGATGATTATGATGATAATGATAACGACGGTGATGATGATCGCCGATGGTCAAGAATAATGACGGAGTGGCAGCAAACAAGGAGCGGAACGCGTCCGAGAGATGACGCCCACCCGCCGAGGAGATGGAGCGATGCAATCAGCTCGCGTGCAGCTGCTAGGTGGATAATTAACAACGCATGACCGTGATGACGACAGCTTGTGGGAGAGGGGCGGGCGAGGCCTTCATCCAGCAGTGAATTGAGCATGGCCGCTGCTGCTGCTGATGATGATGATGCAAGGAATAGTTGTCAGTGGATGAGTTTCGTACATGCTGCGCGACTGTGTACAGAGGAACCGCTACGCTCCAGCGTGCGTGCGTGCGTGCACTCGATGCTGTGCGCTTACGCTGTATGCACATTGCACACGCGGAGTAGCGCGAGTTTTCTCTACCCCCGCAATTCAATGGATTCTGCACAAGCAGCTGCTACATGCACAGACAAATATCCCTCGTGCTGGATTATAGACCGTAAGGGCAAGTTTTGAAGCGCACAGGCATGATAGAAGATCACCAACCCATATTCTGTAGAGCTTCTAAAGAAACTGTTGAGGCATGTGCTGGTAAGCGAGCACCTATTAAGACCCGCGTGACGCACGAGGAGGTGGTTTGGCCAGAGGATCGGTTCTCATATCAATCGCCACTGATGTTAGCCGTGGCTGGAAATCGAATCCAGATCGCCGGGTTCGCAAGTGCAGTGTGGGTAACCACTACGTCACGTGAGACACAAAGACAATACACAGACGAAAGATGATGAAGAGCATCTGTATAGCCTTGTAGACTGGAGCGCACGTGGTGTTAGCGAGCACCGATTAAGGTCACCACGGCGTACACCGGGGGGGTGGGGAGTGGTGGAGGAGTGGCATGAAAGCACCACAATCGGCCGCCTTTGTCTCTTTCTGCCATGTTGATGTTAACCCAACGGGTACGTGTCCACTCAAATTTGAGGCAGAGTAAACCTAGAATATGTCCAAGGCAAGCTCAGTGCTGCTGATATCCGCGAGCGGGAGTAGAACCGAACTCTCTCCGGGACCGCAGTGCAGTGGGATAATCACAGACACGTGAATGTGCGTTTCAGCACCTCCGATTAGCACGGTTGGCTCCGAACGGTCCGAAAGAAGTTCCACATACATACACACGCACACGATTACACTGTACTGTATATACAAACACGGACCTGCAAAGTGTTGCATGCCACATTTTCTCTGAGTAAATGCATTATTAAACGCACGACCTTAGCACTTGCAATATTATTAATCAAAAGCTGGGCATAAGCACACCCATTGCGAGCATGTCCACGTGTGCGTATAACTGAAGTGTGCTCGTATTAAACGGGCTCCCTTTGTATTTCCCGCCCCCCCCCACCAGTACAATGTAGGGATGTGTTTTTTCTATATAACCAACCAGTGCTTATATTATCAAACGTAAGCAAAACTCCATTCTGTACCTACACATAAATAGAAACGTGTTTTAATCAATCGGCCCTTTGGCTTTACAGACCGATAATATAAAGCAAGATGTAAGAACTGTATGTGAACTCTGGTCCGGTTTTGACATTCTGGGTCTCATCAGTAGTGTCAGGCGTCTTAAACGGAACACGTACGTCAACAGCAGTGGCCTAAAAAGACAAAACATATCATGGGCGACGTTTCGGGAAATGCCCCCCTTCTTCAAAGCACATTGTTCGAAACGTCACCGATTATACATTTGCTTCCTTCTGGGGAAGTGTTATCGACGGGTGTGTTGAGTTGTGTTGGTTGTTTATTATATCAGGTGTGCTTATATACCAGCTTCCGCTGTACAATTTTGAATGCAGAGATAAGTAGGGCACGTGCCTGTGTGTTTAGCCGCGCAATTCGGGAGACTCTGGAGATTTCCCTTGCTCGCTAATTGTGGACCCAGAGTGAATGATGGGGTTCAATTCACCATTACAGATATGTCGCGTCTCCCGCTGCCACGTGTCATCTGTACGTGACTTCCCAATCTCTCCGCGGCTCCAAGTGTCTCCCTCTCCTGCGGCTCGGTTCTCTTAATGTCCTCTCAACATTTCCCCGAACGCGTCTCCTTACCCGTATCTCGCCCACTCGCCTCCTCGTGTCTCTTTGGCTGTGCGTCCCAACGTTTCTCCCCAACGTGTCTCCCGGTGTCTCCCGGTGCCTTCTCACGTCCCCCAACGTCTCCTCTCTGTCCTCCTGCGTCTTCCAGTGCCTCTTCGTATGTCCCCATGTCTCCTTTCCTCATTCATAAAAGGGCTTTGGGTGAGATCGCGTTGTTATAGATGTGTCGCAACCCTCCACCACCCGACATGGCGAATCAATAAAAAAAAATGTGTCACGTTAACAAAACGCCAATTAGTTACTTCTTCAGCCAACCGGTGTGTTTGAAGAGTGAATCCACAACATTTCCTCTGACCGTCTGCGTCTAACTGTGTCTCTTCGTGGCTCCCCTGTGTCTCCTTCCCTCTGTCCGTGTCTCACGGCGTCTCTCCGTGTCTTTCATGTGCCCCCTTTCCCTCTGCCCGCCCCTCCCCCCTGTGTCTCCCCGTGTCTCCTCGCCAGCTGCCTCCGTCCCGTGCCATCCAGGATGTAATATCTTAGGCGGCTACTGTGGACCCAGCGGAGGCTGCAGGTAAGAGACCCCGAATCCGTACGCAAATTTCACTTTCAAAATATCAGTGACCTCACGCTCTGGGTGATCTAGAAGCCCTGTTTGATTTAGGAAGTCGCTCCCTATCTTCTGCTGCTCACAAGGTCTGGAACGCTTTAATTTGCAATAACAGCACTTTCCCGAACAGCCCTGTTAAAGCCAACACGGGGGCTCTTTGCTGCAGCAGGGGATTGATCATGCCTCATGATGATGATGATGACATCTATCAGCACAAAGTGCAAAGAGCGTGGCTGACCTCACGCTCTGGGTGATCTAGAAGCCCTGTTTGATTTAGGAAGTCGCTCCCTATCTTCTGCTGCTCACAGCAGAAGATATGCATCGCACTGTCGAGATGTACGAACACATGAACTCGATCTGTCTCTTTCACTGCCGACTTCAATCGAAGTCCATTAGCAGGGAGCCAGCCCTTAAATCCCCTTCAATAACGAAGCGCCTCGACAGCCCATTCGAATGCTCCCACATCAAGCACCCTGCCGGATATTTTTCACTCTCTCTCTCGTCGCTCCCTTCTCTATCCCAGCTCCCTCCCCTCTCTCTCTCTCTCACCTCTCCTCTCCTCTCTCTCTCTCTTTTCCTGCTGTTGCCTCTTTCCCAGCTCCCCTCTCCCCCTACATTCCATTTCCTCCTTCTCTCTCCTATTTCCCCCAACTCCCCCTTCTCTCTCCCAGCTGTGCTTCTCCTCTCCCTCCGAGCTTCAATCAGCTCCCATCTCCCCAGGACCCCCATAAGGCTTTCATGACCGTGTAGCTACAGAGAGTCTAGATTTGCTGACAGAATACGTTGTCAACAGAGGTAATTGGAGGGTGAGCAAATTATTCTCGCGCCAATGATCCTCTCAATTTCCTTTTTTTTACATGTTCACTCCAATTAAAATCGCTCCACAAATTCTCAACTCCCACTGCGAGTAAGCATCTTGACTCAGTAGAAGAGTCGCGCAGACAATGTAATCACAGGACGCCTTCTGAAGCCTCTTCTCCAGCCTTTCATCCATTGCAACCCAGTTCCAACCCAGCTCCAACTAAACCCAACATTGCAACCCAGTTCTAACCCAACTCCAACTAAACCCAACGTCCTAACCCAATATTCCAACTCAACAGTTTCGGCGCAGGATTTCGGAAACAGTAGCAGCGTACGCGAGCCTCTTATTTGTACGATATGAAGAAGGGCCATTTCCCGAAACGTCACTTATTACATACACTCCCGCCCCCCCCCCCCCCCCCCCCCCCCAACTCTCTTTAAGAACAATGTTATAATTGTGTTGAGTATTTAGTTTTGGGGTTGTTTCGCCTTTGTACCACTTCACCGCTGCAACATGGTCTTCGATTCGTGACTCTCTTTAAGTCTCACGCTGCCCGGAATTGTGTGAACAGGTACCACCCTCCTCTCTCGACTTCAAAGACCACCGTTGATTTGGTGACAACCCTTGAAAAATCCAGTGTCCCCCTTTTTTTTGCCCGCACGACTCCGTGACCCGTGTTGCTTAGGGACCGATGGGCCCGCTATGATTTTTATTTTTAAAATCGCGATCGGTGTTTTTTTTTTCCGGAAATCCAGGCTGATCATTGCAGAGGCACACAATGGCCCCATCACGAGGATGACGTCGCGTGATGTTTAACGCCTGTGCTGGACAAAGCAGACAATGTACTTTGCTAAAAAAATGTTTTTTTACTATTGAATGCCGCGTAACTGACTCGGTGGGCCGCCGGGTGAATAATTCAGTTGTACCCAGTCACCTCGAATTAAATTCATACACAAATATACAGGGTTTCCCAATGCTTAATTGATCAAAGAGCGATATTCCTCATTAGTCCTCTGCCCAGTCCTTGGCTCAAGGTACCTCCATTCTGTCCATTATTGAGGAAACTTCGAACCCTTTCCCTTCAAACGGTTATTATTTTTATGGAACAGTTCTTTTTTTCAACAGAGAAAAAATGCTTAATTGTACACTTTCTATTATTCTGGGAGTCTTGCTGAATCTCAAGAGTGTGTGTGTTTTATTTTCAGCAGGCTGATACATTGGGACATTTGGCCAAATCCATTAATGAGAGTTTCGCTTTGTGTGCGAGGAGATCAGAGTACCCGGAGAACCCCAAGCATGCAAAGGAGTTTAACACTCATACGTCCATACAGACGGGTTCATGAACCCACTTGCTGTACACTCATCTCCTAGTTCCCGTCTGAGAAGCACTCAGGTCTTGACTTAAAGCTTTCGTGACAGCAGGAATTCACATTCTTTGGGTCTTTCGGTAAAGTCACGTAGATAGGATCAAAGAAAACATTACAAAAATAACAAAAGGCTACGACGTTTCGATCACAACACAAGCGATCGTGTTGTGATCGAAACGTCGTAGGTTTTTTGTTATTTTTGTTATTTTTTCTTTGAACTTATTTACGTGACTTTACCGAAAGACCCAAAGAATAAGCACTCAGGTATGTATGCCTTTGTGTGTGTGCTTCTTCGTGTGAGAATATGGGTCTCCGTGTGAGTCTGTGGATCCCCATGAAAGTCTATAGGACCTCGATGTGAGTTTATGGGCCTCTATGTAAGGCTGTGGGTCTCTTTGTGAGTCTATGAGTCTCTATGAGCCTCTGGGTCTCTGTGTGAATCTATGGCGTTCTCCGTGAGTCGATGGGTTGCTATGAGTCTGTGGGTCTCAATTTGAATATACGGTCTCTTTGTGAGTCTATGCGCCTAGATGTGAGTGTAATGGTCTCTGTGTGAGTAAGCAGCACTGATGATGCAGCCACTGCCAGCGCAATCCAAGACATCGTTGAATCCACCTGCACGCGTCATGCACCTGAGATTGGAAACCCCGCAGTGGAGTATTGTAGCCTCCCCACACCGGAGCTGTGAGCGACTCGTGAGCTCGTTTCTGTTTGTACACAGGTGCCGGCCAGGCTGGACGGGAGCGCTGTGCGACACACGGAGGCCACGGCCTCTGAGTTCGAGTCCCACTCCAGGTGAGGAGCAGGATGAGGAGCGGCTGCTGGTGTTGGTTTGGCGGTGGCACGCCTCTGATGGGGCGACATTCCCTTGAGTTCTCTGAGCACCACCTGATGAACATCATCATCATCATCATGGGCAAATAGCCCGTAGGTGTCCACTGCACATTTTGTCATTTGTTTCCACTTTACTCTGTCTTGTGCCAATATGCTCATTTAGTGCCACGACCTGCTGGCACCACTCTCTTACGTCGTCATCTTTCGTCAAGACATTTTCTGCGAGGTCTTTCCGTTTCCTTCCATTTTCCCGAACAACACCAACAAAAATAACAACACACTTTTAACTTGATTTGGTGCTTTCGTGACTGCAGGAATTACCGAAAAAAACAAAGAGTAACACACTTTTAATTTCCGTCTTGGTTGCCCATCCTGCTGCTTATTTTTTTTTTATTCCCTGCACCGAGGCCCATGCCAACCAACCTCGCTGCAACCCTGACGGGGATGAACGCGAAGGGACGGAGCGGCGATTCTGGCGACTCCGCCTGCCCGCGCTGCACCGTGACGCCATCGAGGGAGTTAATTACGCGAGCGCAGACCACGTCACACTCGATTGTGCTTCTGTAATTGATGGGCGTCTTGGGATGTGGGTAGGGGGCAGCGCAGCGAGAATTGACCCCTCCATGTCTCTCTATGTCACTCTCTCTCTCTCTCGCCCGCTCATTCTCTCTCTCCGTCTGATGTATTTCACCCTCTCTCTCGCCCACTCTTTCTCGCTCTCTCTACGCGTCTCACGCACCCACCATGTGGTTCTCTATCACCATTCTCTCGCCCACTATCTATATCTCTCTGTCTCTCTCGCCTACTCTGTCTCTCTGTCACACTCTCTCTTTCTGTCGCTATCTCATCCACTCGGTCTCTCTATCACCATTCTCTCGCCCACTATCTATATCTCTCTGTCTCTCTCGCCTACTCTGTCTCTCTGTCACACTCTCTCTTTCTGTCGCTATCTCATCCACTCGGTCTCTCTATCACCATTCTCTCGCCCACTATCTATATATCTCTGTCTCTCTCGCCTACTTTGTCTCTCTTTCACACTCTGTCTTTATGTCGCTATCTCATCCACTCGGTCTCTCTCTCTATCACCATTCTCTCGCCCACTATCTATATCTCTCTGTCTCTCTCGCCTACTCTGTCTCTCTGTCGCTATCTCATCCACTCGGTCTCTCTCTATATCACCATTCTCTCGCCCACTATCTATATCTCTCTGTCTCTCTCGCCTACTCTGTCTCTCTTTCACACTCTGTCTTTCTGTCGCTATCTCATCCACTCGGTCTCTCTCTCTATCACCATTCTCTCGCCCACTATCTATATCTCTCTGTCTCTCTCGCCTACTCTGTCTCTCTGTCGCTATCTCATCCACTCGGTCTCTCTCTCTATCACCATTCTCTCGCCCACTATCTATATCTCTCTGTTTCTCTCGCCTACTCTGTCTCTCTGTCACACTCTCTCTTACTGTCGCTATCTCATCCACTCGGTCTCTATCACCATTCTCTCGCCCACTATCTATATCTCTCTGTCTCCCTCGCCTACTCTGTCTCTCTGTCGCTATCTCATCCACTCGGTCTCTCTCTATCACCATTCTCTCGCCCACTATCTATATATCTCTGTCTCTCTCGCCGACTCTGTCTCTCTGTCACACTCTCTCTTTCTGTCGCTATCTCATCCACTCGGTCTCTCTCTCTATCACCATTCTCTCGCCCACTATCTATATATATCTGTCTCTCTCGCCGACTCTGTCTCTCTGTCACACTCTCTCTTACTGTCGCTATCTCATCCACTCGGTCTCTCTCTATCACCATTCTCTCGCCAACTCTCTCCATCTCTTTCTCGCTGAATGTCTCTCTCAGTGACTCACGCTCTCTCGCTCTGCCTCTCCTCTCCCACTCATGAATTATTTCTGTTTCTCTTTCCTACAACCTCTGTCACCCTCTCTACCTCTGTGTGTCATCCTCTCTATCTCTCACAATGAGAACCGTGGATTCACGTATAGAGCCATTACAAACTGTTGGGGCAAGTGCTGTAAGCGAGTAGCAATGACCAGGATCGGCACTGTGGTACACGAGAGGGTGGGTGGCCAGCACTACGCCCGGCCGCCTTTGTCTCCCCAGTGGCGATGTTTTTACACACCCCGTCAGGTACTCATTTGAGGCTGAGTCGACCTACGAGAATCCCAGGACCGGTTAAATTAATCGTCACTGGGTGTTGTTGGCCTTGGGCGGGAAATCGAACTCGGGAGCCTGCCGGGTCCGTAGCGCGGCGCGCTAACCGCTACACTACCGCTCCCCACGGGCTCCCCACCAGGCTGCCCCCAAGCACACACACGCGGACAACGTGCAGAGACGCCGGCGTGCGTGCCCTCTGCGCGGTGCCCTCTGCGCGGTGCCCTCTGCGCGGTGCCCTCTGCGCGGTGCCCTCTGCGCGGTGCCCTCTGCGCGGTGCCCTCTGCGCGGTGCCCTCTGCGCGGTGCTCTCACTCGTGGTTCCCCACCCTCCCCACTCTCGCTTTGCTTTAATTGATACACGCGTGGGGGTGGGGGTGTGGGGGCTGTTGGGGGGAGGGGCAGCGGGGGCTGTTGGGGGGCAGCGGGGGCTGTTGGGGGGAGGGGCTGCGGGGGGACTTGGGGGGGAGCTGCGGGGGCTGCGGGGGCTGTTGGGGGGAGGGGCTGTTGGGGGGGGGGGCTGTGTTAATTGAATTCGTGCTTCGCGCGATAACGCGCTGGGCACTGTTACTCTCTTTGTTACTCTCTTTGTTACTCTCTTTGTTACTCTCTTTGTTACTATCTTTGCCTCTCACCACCGACGGTGTGAACCACAAAGCGCGGGAGAGAGATAACACGACAACGAAACAATAACAATAACACACTTAGCAGCACTGCCCTTACAACAGCAGCAACGAAACATGATAAGCGACTAATCTGAATGTTTAAACGAAACGCTCAGCATATTCGCTTACAGCAGTGTGGGCTTTAAAGTAAATAAATAAATATATTTTTATCTTGCCTTACAGCTTTCGTGACTGCATTAATGAATGTTATTTGTGTCTTTTCGGTAAAGTCACGTAGATGGGGTTCAAAGATGACGAACGCTTTTCTTGCGATCGAAACGTCATAGTTTTTTGTTATTTTCTTTGAACCTATCTACGTGACTTTACCGAAAAGGCACAAATAATATGAAATATATTTTGAGCAACGTTTCGGGCAATGGCCCTTCATAGCACATACATGATTTGTTGTGGTATGAAGAAAGGGCCATTACGTGATCCACCAACAGTCGCGCAACACCCACGCGTGGATGTGATGATTGGGATGATTGTAGTGATAATGCATATGATGATGATTGTGATGATGATGATTGTGATGATGATGATTGTGATGAAGATTGTGATGATAATGATTGTGATGCTTATGGTGATGACGGTTCTGATGATGATGATTGTGATGATGCTGATTGTGATGAAGATTGTGATAATGATTGTGGTGACGAGTTCCCGTGCTATAAATTTCCACTTGATATGCCACTTCGTTGAGATATAATTTATGGCCAGGTCGTTTCTGAAAATAGAAGCTAAAAGCTCAGTGGGCTCTACCTGGTAAGATGAAAAAAATGTTTCGTTTTATTTGTTTATTTGTTAAGCGATATGTTTACCTTTCCCGTACTTTGCACGCTATCGTGTTTTTGTATTGATTGTTGTTACAACGTTCTAACCGCGTGCTCGTCCCTACTGGACATCTGTGAAAAAAGAGCTTCATAGCTCATCGGATTCCTCCAGGATAATTAAATACTCTGATGCTGATTCATGTGTGGTGTATAGCCGGACGTGAACAGATGAAACACGAAGACGAGGCTTTGTTTTCCGCTGTACGGCACAGCGACTGACATTAACATAACAAACAAAAACCCCACTTCTATTTGGAACGAATATCCATCTCATTGAGATGGTTACAAAAATATATATGCTTCAACTCTCGTTCTCTGAGTCACCCACCGACTTGTGCATTGTAACCAATTCATTAAGCCATCCACACGATTATATGTACATCCATTCACTAATTCATACGCGCTCGCTTGCTCGCACGCACGCGCGCGCTGTTCTCGTACCCGACTCACCCACACGCTCACTCACCTCCACCCAATCACTCGCTCACTGCCTCCCTCAATAGCCCATCCACTGACTGGACGGAGATAACGACTCACGCTCTTACTACTCGACTCTTTCTCTCACTCACTCACCCACCTATCCAATCACCGACTCAGTCACCCACCCATTAACCTACACACTCACGCATTCGCTTATCCGCTCATTCACCCACAAGCTGACGAACCTACGAAGACAAAGATCCTCCCATATTACCTTCACAGACTGTTGGGACAAGTGCTGTTAGCTAGCACCACACCCAGCCGCCTTTGTCTCCCCAGTGGCGACATTTACACACTGCAACAGGTACTCATTTGAGGCTGAGTCGACCTAGGGGAGGCCGAGGACCGGTTCAGATAATCGTCACTGGTTTTGGAGCTAACCGCTCCACTTCGAACCTACCCACGCTCACGCACCCATTTGCACACTTATTCATCATCTATCCGCCCGCTGACCCACCTACCCACTTACCCACCCACTCATCCGCCCACGAGCTCACTCGCCTACCCAATTACTCACTCATGAACCCACTCGCTCGTCCATCCACTCGCCCGTCCCGACACTCACAGCGTGTTCTACCTGCCACAAACGCGTGTGTACAGGTGCCCACCGCTGTAACACGGACACCACCACCACGACCACCACCACCACCACCACTACTACGACCACCAGCACGGGGGATCAACCTCTCTGCCCCGGACACGGCTCTCCGTGTGTCGTGGGGGGCCCCGGAGTGTCGGGGTGTCCTCCCCGCGAAGATCCCTGTTCCACGCCCGGGTATGCACGTGTGTGGGTTTGTGTGTGGCTGGCCACCCACAACCTCGTATGCCATGCCGACATTCATAAGTGCTCGCGAACAGCACTTGCCCCAGTGAGCTGTCGCAGGCTATACGGGGGATCTTTGTCTTCGTGTATGGCCGTGCGCTTACAACATGCACATTTCAATTATGCAAACAAAAACACTGCTGCCCCTTTACAGACTCTTATGGCAAGTGCTGTTCGCGTGCGCCTTTGAAGGCCGGCTCGGCGCACGAGGGCAGTGGGTGGCCAACACCCCCATCCGGCCTTTTTGTCTGTGCTATAAAGAACGGCCATTGCCCCAAACGTCGCCTATTGTTTATATATATAAAAGGCTTGATCGTCATTGAAAAATGCGTTGATTGTATTTGTTCTTATTACACACATCACACTATCTGCACGTATCCCAACACATTTGACACAACGATATATTGTACATTGTTATAGCCCCTGCCAGCCCCTCCCCAATCCTCATCCTCGCCACCCCCCGGGTCCCCGCCCGTTCCACCCCAAATTAATGAACACGGCACGCGCCCCATTCGGCAACAAGCGAGAGAATTGGAGACAGAGCCGCGGTTTAACCGAGCGAGTGATGATGACGATGATGATGGCTTTGGGATGATTCCTCACAATCACTGCCCGCGCGCACGCGTGACATAAATTAACCCAATTTAGTGGAGCGCAAAATGGGCGAGCGAGAGGATTTTAATTGAGGCAGACGTGAGGAAGACAGGGAAAACTAGACGGAAAGGAGTTTAGATATTAGCTCTATGTCTCCTTGACATATAATCGGTCTATCCGCGTAAACAAATACATGTATCGTCTTACACAACGATAGAAAAAGTATTTCTTACACAACGGCCGTCTGGTAGTACAGAAATCCAGCAGCATTGATTGCTTATCCTGAATCAATGCTGCTGATATGTACTCCCATAAAGGGCGTGCGGCTGATGAGTCATGTGAGAAATGCTTTAGTTTTTTTTTGTATGCTGAAAGATGGATTGTATGTGCAGGAGACACGTTGACTGTTTACCCATTATATATCATCTGTAACCGGTCAGAGTTTTTTTTTCTTCTAAATCCGTCTCACATTTGATTAGATCATCACAATCATCAGTCATTGTCTATTCACTGCCGGCTGAAGTCCCACCGACGCAGTTGCCATCCGCTCGTTCTCCAGTGCTGCTTCAATCATCCACCTCACTGCTGCTTGCACGTCAACCATGATCATCGCTCCATCTCCCGCGGCCCCTTAGATGCGCTCTCTCCTTTGGCTATACCATTACGCCACGAGTCTCGCCAATCTGGTCATGATCTCGTTCAGCGGATCTATCCCGCTCGAATCCATCAATTTTCTTCATCATCATCATCATAATAATAACAGTGATAATTCCCTTTCCCGAAGCCTTACGGCTGTTTTTTTTTTATTTAAAAGAGAGTCCTACTCCATTCGGTTGCATGTCCCATGTCATTAATGAGCGTTTGCTAAATGTAAGTGTGTGTGTGTATGCTGAACGTCTTTTGCACCGTACGTAGCCAACCGTGCAGAATCTGAGGTGCGTGGGAAGGACAGCAAACTAATCACAAAGAGCAGAATGTGGGAGTACACCGGAGTAGACTGACCTTGACGGCATTTCACGTTGCTATGTCGCAATGATGGCATTTTGTGTTGCGATTGTGTTGTGATGGCCTTGTGATGACGAGCATTCGTTGTTTGTGTCATTCTAACCCCAGTTCCCCGCGCGAGGTCACGACTTCCACGCGTGGCTGCCAGCAACCACGCGTCTCTCCGCTGACAACATTCACATCTCAAACACCCAGCCACCAACCACCACAAAAACAACAGCAACAACCACCGCCAAAACAACAACAACAACCACAACAACAGCACCAACTGTTACTGCTACAACAGCAGCAGCGACACCAGCAGCAGCAGTCACAACCGCATCCTCATCCGCAACACTCACAACAGCACCAGCGCCAACAGAACGAACGGCAACGCCAACATCCGAGAGTCGAACATCGAGCAGCCCAGCAGCATCTCACGCCACCGCTGCCGCTCATATCTCTCGGACCTCCGACCGCGCTCCTCCGCCGCCGCGAGGTGACGATGGCTCAACGCCGATCCACCGCCCGCGTTCCCGCCGGCGCTGAGTTCGACTCCGGCTCCGGCTCAATGTCGGATTGGCAGCGCCGCTGGGCGTGTGTGGGAGCCCTCGCGTCGTTCACATCGCTCGTGCTGCTCGGCAGCATCGCCCTGGTGTTCAAGCCGCGATGGGAGACGTGGGCGGCCAACGTTCGCCACCGCCGCCTCATCGAGAGGCACAGGGGCCGGGCCGCTAGGGACGGCTCCACGTGGCACATCGAGGAGGAGGAGGCGGCGGCGACACCGAGAGGAGGCAAGCGTGCGGACGAAGGGGAGAGCGCTCGGCTTCTGGGGTCGTGCGCGTGACCGTCTATGGAGAGAGAGGGACGAGGTTGGGGGTTGTTTCTGCGTGGTGTGTCGGCGTGCGTGCGTGCGTGCGCGTGCCGGGGAGCGGTGGCGCAGTGGTTAGCGCACTGTGCTATGAACTCGGTGGACCCGAGTTCGATTCAGGGCCAACGCCAGTGACGATTATCTGAAACGCTCCTGGGCCTCGCCTACGTCGACTCTGACTAAAATTAGTACCTGGTGCGATGTGTGAACATTGATACTGGGGAGACAAAGGCGGCCGGGCATGATGTTGGCCACCCACCCCTTCGTGTGCGGTGTCGGCCATCATAGGTGCTCGATGACAACACTTTCCCCAACAGTTTGATAAGGCTATACGGGGGATCTTTGTCTTTATGTCAAACGTGATACAGAGAACGCACAGAGTAACGCGTGACGTGTTTACCAATCATTAGGCGCGTTTAGCGTGTAACACTGTAACGCCTTACATTTCTATTTGTAAGTAGACAAACTGGGGGGGGGAAACTCGATACAAAACGAAGCGTGGTAAATTGATATTTTGGAACCCGTGGTCCAACCAGAGATTCACTTCCATCGAGTCCGTGCAGGTCGTCCGCCCGGCACACCACATCTAGTCCACCTATCGCCGTGACTGCGCCTGCCACAGTCTACCAGCGACCCGGGGAAGCACTCCGTGAGAACCACATATCTGGGTATAGCGAGTACGTTGTACGATTCGCTATTTATTACACGGCGGTGTATAAATAGACATCAATTGTATACGTGCGTGAGTGAGTTCCACAGCCCCACTAGAGACTGTGTTTGATATATGACTCGTGTACGGAAATAAACAGCGGAACTCATGATGCACGTGTCTTGTCCATGCCGCCGCCGTGTGTGCACAGGGCCACGTGTTGCCTCGCGGAACTTTGTCCCGCAGCCAGGACGTGTCCCACTGAGATTTATTATCATCTTGTTAGCGTCGTGTTACCCCACTTTAATCATCATCATCATCAGCAGCAGCAGTAGCCATCATCTATCCACTGCTGAATGAAGGCCTCCTAAATTAAAATCAGTTAATAGTTGACAGCCCTGTTAATCCACTGCTGGACGGTCTCCCCTGCACGATGGCGGTTCGTGGTCGGTGCGGATTTGTGAAGGGAGGAAGTGTAGCCACGTGTTGTATATAAGCCTTTTTCCATTTTTGTTTTTGATATTAATAATGATTTTGCCGATTTTTTTTGTATCACTCGCGGGGTCGTTGGGAGCACAAACAAACGAACCCCCCCCTTTTCGAGCAGCTGTCTTGTCACTCTCGCAAGGATAATGACACCCTCCCCTCCCACCAACGGAAAGGGTCAGTCATAAAGTCAAATTAAAAAAAAGACACACACACGCCCCCCCCCCCTCCCGCGAAGGAAGGGGCCAATCGAGACATCTCATCACCACAAACAATAGAACAAACACACATCAGACGAAAACCGGGCAGACAAGTTTTAATTAACAGAAGTACGAAAAAAACAGACTACAATCCACATAGCGGGTCACACATAATATTAATGCTAACCTTATTCACCTTAAATTATATTACATCTTGCCGTTACATGACCTTACAAAAACCAAGGAACATGAATTCCAACAGTCAAGAAACTTAGCTCTAAAACTCAAGACATAAAAAATTAAAGTAAATAATAACTCAAGCATAACAGCACCGATCCCCGGATACAGACGGGGGGGGGGACGAAAATTAATAAACCCTAGGAAATGCGTCGTGATGACAATGAATCACAAATCTTAGGAAACATAAACCAAATAATATTTGTGCCGTATTAAACCGAGGGTTGCCCAGAGGAAATTAGGCGAAATGGGTCGGGCTTACACAGCAAAGATAGACTGTGTTCCATAGGAAAGGAGCCTCCCGGCCGTCTTTGTCTTCCCGCAGCACGGGATAGCAAAGAATGATGCCAGAGCGAGGGAAATTACTATTTATTGCAGGGGGCATCTGTGCATCCACGGATGAAAAGATGACTTGATGAATGACACACACACGTACCCCCCTCCACAACGCAGAGCGAGATCAAAGAAAGTTCCGGTCCTTTGTGAAAGAACATGACGGAGTGAGCATCTGTTTTTTATCCTCTCGCAAGAGACGCGCAGAGGGGAGATTTTTAGGATATAAACAGCAGCACGACATACACAATTCAGCTCGACAATTCAGCTCGACAATTCAGCTCGTCAATTCAGCTCGACAATTCAGCTCGTCAATTCAGCTCGACAATTCAGCTCGACAATTCAGCTCGACAATTCAGCTCGACAATTCAGCTCAACAATTCAGCTCGACAATTCATCTCGACAAGGGACAGCTCGGCGAGCGACAGAAGAGTACCGCAAGCGGCAGGCTCCGGGGGGTGGGCCCCGCAATCAACCGAGGATGGCGAGGCCTGCAGAGTAGCGATGTGTCACCGAGTGTGAGTTCAGAGCTGAAAGACGAAGTATCGCTAAAGAGTTTTATTCTACATCGAGTGCCAGCTCCCAGCAGCAGCTGCAGCCCAAGAGAAAGAGCGACGAGCGACGAAAGCAATCGTCCACCGCGGGAGAGCACGCAGCAGGAGAGAGCGCGCAACCAGCGCAACCAGCGCAACCAGCGCAACCAGCGCAACCAGCGCAACCAGCGCAACCAGCGCAACCAGCGCAACCAGCGCAACCAGCGCAACCAGCGCAACCAGCGCAACCAGCGCAACCAGCGCAACCAAGCAAGGGTGCCAGCTGCCAGCGGACAAGCGTTGTGCCGACTCGGCTCATCCAGCAGGGGAAAGAGCCTGAACAGCCGCCCGTGAGCAAGAGTGTCAGCGGACCAGCGGCGAGCGCGATCGAGCATCTTCAAGGACAAGCAACGTGCCGATGCAGCTACTCCAGCAGTGGAAAGAGCCTGTATCTGCCAGCGGACGGGCAGCTAAGCCGACGCCCCGAACAAGAAAAAGCAATGAAGTCGTTTGTATGACCCTCCCCCACACCCACACCCTCACGACGCATCGCCCGGCGATAATTGAACAAGTGGCAAAGAAGACACACAACACGCATACCGGGACAAATAATATTGTTCCAAAAAAGTATCTTTGTGTTTCAAGAAGGGTTGCCATTCCAAGGTGGTGCATTAAATATCAACTGATCGTGAAGAACATTGCTGCCCATTGAGTTATGTAGATACGGTCATTTAGAAGTATTTTAGTCGTTCGTTTTTTTCTTTTCAATTGCATAATCTTACAAACGAATTAATTGATAACTACTCTTGCCTTCGGGACGTTTCTTTATTGCCCTTCGTATGAATATGGTTGCATGCATTTTTAAGGACTTTTCCTCTCGTCGTGTATGCTCGCGTACTCTGAGGAATAATCGATTGTACTGCTACCCAGTTAACAAACGACCATTGAGGGTTAAATTTATTAATCAATGAGGGGAACATCTCCTGGAGTACTGTGTTGAGTGTTTCTTTCCTGAGTTCATGCATAATAATCTTGCTTATAAGAACTGCATCCTGCGTTGAGATTTGAATTTGGAGACCTGACATGAACACTAATACATAATCAGTAAATGTTAAAGCGAGAATAATTATATTATACGGATCGATAATACAAACCTAGACAACGAAGCTGAGTTTAATCTGGCATACTTACAGTACACCTGCATAACTTCATACAAACAATTGTCTTATTCCGATTGATAATACTACCCTCGACAACGAGGTTTAGCCTAATTATAATAACTGTGTACATTAGCATAATCGCATACACTCACATAAATTAATATTATTATCTCTCGAATTAGCATAATTTATATGCACAACTGCATCAATTAACATAATTTGGGATGATTACGCATTTTTTTTAAATTTTCATTTATATTTTATTATTTTCATCGAATTTTCAAAACCCGGCATATACAACACACGGGAGCCATAGAAGTAGAGTTAAACTGCACTGATGCCGACCAAGTATCCTTCCTATACCAACCTGCCATGCATGATGCTCACCAATCCAGATAGCCAGGTTCAAGTCAGCCTGGCTTCCGAGATCCTTCTCTGCCGAGATTGGACATGCTCATCGTCATGTTGGTCATGTACAGCCATGGATTACTCAAGCAAAATACCTCGAAAGATGATACAAATGTTCTCTCTCCTGCGATTTATCTCTCGTGACCTTATCCTGCTGATCCCTAACCAGATCCTTGTGTCTGACGTCAAACGAATTTTAAGAATTCCCTCCCCAGGCAAATCCATCTGTGGTCAAATCTGCCTCTGATTTCAGGCCTCTGCTCCGTTCCTTTCCTTTGTTTTCAACCCCATGCTTTGGGCACCCTGTTTTAGCACCTTGCCTTCTCGCATTCGCATCGGTCACAGACCCCCGTCTATATTCTTGGTTCTTTCGGTAAAGTCACCACGTAGAAGGGAAACAATAACATAATAAATAAAAAATATATAAAACAATAAAATTCTCACGACGTTTCGACTGCAACACAAGCAATCATCATCAGGTGTGAAAACCACAGCAAGAACATTTGAAAAAGTAGCGTTTTTTTTTAAACGTTAGCACCACGGAGAGCGATTCGGCAGTTTGTTCAGATGGACGAGTCCATCTATGTTCGGAAAAGAGAAGGGAGACGAAAATAATGGATGCGGTCTGAAAGCCACCGTAAGCGTGAACAATCAATTAAGACCCGAAATGGTTTATCACATCCGTCTTAAACAGGTGTTAAGATGTTAAAACACCAAATTGAAACCTTTTTTTAACACCTGTTTTGTTGCCAGAAAAAAAGGGGAAAACCCTATTATCATATTTTGGTACTGGCAAAGGAGGTCCCATGATGGAGCTGCTCACCCCCAGCTCTCATTACTCTGATCGTGCGTTGTCTTTGGGCTGTTCGCCTTTTGGCATCCTCTGGTCTAACACCGTTTGAGACGAGGCTCAAAAGAAAGCTGTCTCTGGAGTGGACCAATCAGTTTCAAAGACAATGCATATAGTATCAGAGTGTGTTTTTTGTTTGCATTTTGACCACAAGCATTGTGCTTAATGCAGGCATGATTCCTTGTAAAAGGTTTCAGTTTGGTGTTTTAACATCTAAACACCTGTTTTGTTGCCAGAAAAAAGGGGATAACCCTATTATCGCACTAGACATCTATTTCGCGTTTAATGTTTCTGTTGCTC